CGTGAAAGATGATTTTTTTTTTAGGAAAAGCTGTGTCAGACAACGGTCGTGTTGATGGTGAACATGATGTTTCCATTTCCAACTCAGACTGTGGAGAGGGCCGTCGATTGAGTTGTGGAAAAAAGAGGAGATCGAAGGGACGCCGTGACAGCGCGGCGAAGAAAGCTCATAGGAAGAAGAGGTAGCAAGCTATCGCTGAGTTTTGAGGAAACAGTGGCCATTCACAGTTTTCAGGAGACGGCGAAGAAAGCGAAGGACTGAAGTAGGACCGCATACAATAACTGGATCTCTACATGATTACTTCGCAGGGATACAAGTTTTTTCATAGTATGTTCCCTGATTCTTCTCCACTTACTTCTCCAGCTAATTGATTGTGTTTAGCGCTCGTTATATGGAGCTCAGAAAGGAGTATATAGCGCTACGTCGTCAGTCAAATAGTCGAGCGAGTAAACTTGCAAAGAATGACAGTCGTTTCTCAGAGTTTGCTTCTCGCCTCTGTGATAGAAAGGTTAGATGGATTCTCAGATTTTGTCTACTCGTCATCACGCCTAAGTTATAATTTACAAGTCCGATATCCTTCTGCGGCTGTGCCAACGAGGTAGCTCGATATATTTGCTTTCCGACTTATAAGTTACTATAAGGCAACAGCACAAATTGACTTTCCGCTGGGGATCCGCATCTCAAATGCTCTACAAATATGTACGCGATGTCCCAGTCCATATTCGGAACCCAATGAACTAAACTTTTCGGCGCAGTTCGGTGTAGGGATGATGGCTTTTTGCAAGAGGGCAAGAGAATCTTAATTCGACGTTTCCCCGCGCGCGACGATGGGCGCGACGTTTTCCTAAGTGGTATTAGCCTGTTCATTGGAGGTGCGGATTCCACGTGGGTTACGAAACTGTAGAGGTTTATGGCTATTTTCAGTTCTACATTGCCTGTTATCGCCATCTAGGACCTAGGAACCATCGTCATTTGCCGGCGCGACGTCGCACGCGACGCCTGTCAGCGCGGCGTTGTGATTGTTTTGCCACGTACCGTTTTGCACTTTCGCATTCACTAGTTCCCGTTTACAAGTCTCACTCCGGTGAATTTGTGAATTGGAGCAAGCTCATCGAGCCGCCATGACAAAACCCGTCAATTCTTATAAGCTCATAGACATCTCTCTAGATAGGTCGGCAGGAGTAGGGAGTGCTTACCCCCCCCCCGCCCTCTCCCCTTCATCACCAAACTGCTCCTATTTTTTTCTTTAAAAAACCCGTATTGGAAAAATCTTATGAAGTTATGATGACCGAAGTGTCATCACATAGCCACTCACTTCAGGTGCTTCACTGTTTCGTAACTGAAGGGAATTTCTCTATAGCAGAAAATGCTGGTTATAGGCAAAAGTCAGATCTGAGAATGGACTCGAGCGCGCATCTTCGGCTGACCGGGCAAGTGCGCTATACATTACGCCACCAGGGTCGCTCTTCCGCCTCAGCCCAATGGCTTTTGTCCCATAGACTTACAGCACTCACATATTTGAAGTGGTGCGCCGGTGGTCACTCAATATCGGCAGTGAACCACGAGACTGAAGAATTTATTGTTCTACTCTTTAGTTCCAGCAGTATGATAACTGCTGTTTAACGCCGCAGTTTGCGTTCCGGACCTCTGTTCGCTCTTTCGCGAACTGTGGGGCTAATGCCGTTTGGACTCCAGAAATTTCGGCTCCGAGCTCATTTTAAAAGTGGCAAGATCACCAAATCCGCTAAAAACTTGTATATAGGGGTAATTCAACATCCTGATCACGAATACTTCACTCTCTGTTGTGCTGCTTCACTTCCTGTTGTGTTGCTTCTTTCCGTTACTTGTGTTGCTACTAACTGATTTTCTTCTAGCTATGTTTCTTTGTTTACTTTGTTGTTCCACACGGGTTCTCGTGTAATAAACATAAACATAAACAAGATGACATTCATTTTTGGCGCTGGCGCTAATGGATGACACTACGGTTACCTGCGCTCTGCTAAGGCTGAGCCCAGGAGGTAATCGTAGTGTCCTCTCTTGGCGCCAGCGCCAAGAATGAGTGTCATACTCGTAATCAGGATGTTGAATTACCCCTATATACAAGTTTTTAGTGGATTTGGTGACTTAGGCAATTTGAAAATGAGCTCGAGCCGAAATTTCTGGAGTCCAAACGGCATTAGCCGAACTGTGGCGATAAACAGCAGCAGCTGT